TGTCACCGCTTGGCCGCCGGTGGGGGGTTTGGGAGGCCTGCGCGCTACTTCGTTCACTATATCTACAGTGAAGACCTTCACCAGCAGCAGACATGGACACACACACACAGACAGGGACTCATACACACATATCACACACCCAGACCCACGCACTGCCTCGACTTACTCGGAGACACACACACACGTACAGAGACTCATATACACACGGACACAGATACACACACAGAGACTCACACACTACCTCAACCCACTCGACTTAAACACTTCACACTGAACACTTAACAGATAACTCACACTCTGACTTCCTACGTGATGAAAAATGCTTTCGGGCCACTCGTCGTCTAGTATTATTGGCTGGTTGATTAGAGGGGATACCCCCAAACAACCAGCAGGTACGATACCTGGCATCAACTCCTCCATTGTTCCCAAGTATCTTGCTGCTCCGGGTCGTGCTCAGGACAGCTTCAAGATCGGGCGCATCTCCTGGGCGCAGCTGGACATGCCGGCGAAGCCTTTGTTGGAGGACCGGCTCCGCTCCGGCTTCTCGGAGGCGGCCGGGAGAGAAGCTTTCCGAGCCGGTTCTTTAGGGAATGGGCAAGTTGTGGCTCAAGCAAACTGAAAACTTGGTTGATGGAAGATGTGTTCATCTTCGGAAGATGTGTCTTTCTGTTTCGATACCGCCAGGTGACCCGGGCAAAGGGAGAAAGAAGGCATCCATCCTTTAGTTTCAAGACGAGACTAGACGGAGTTAGTTCTACTATCCATGCACCGTGCTAGCCTGCTTCCTTTCTCAACAGCCCATCCTTTGATCTGCCCATCCGGGTCCACTGATTATCAAAGAATCGCACTTCCAACAAGGACCACCCGGCGTTTTAATCCGGAATTCTCACCCAAAGTCTGGATTTAACGTGGATAGGTGCAGGCCGGGACCCAGGCTTGTCGATCACCTCAGCGTCTTGAACCGGGGACCGCTTTGGGGTTCCACTCATTGCATATCATTGTCAGTCGAGACCGGCTATGCATATGAAGGTGCAAGTGCTGCAAGTGTTAATGACGTGCACCCCAATCAGCAAACGCACAATGGTTTTTTCCCAAGCGACATTCTAGTCAAGGGAGCAACGTCCCGCTGAGGTTTCCAGAGGACAACCATCACAATAAATTATTGACATCGTTTACTGTATTTGTGTTCACTTACTCTATAGAACCACCTGTACTTGAATGAAGCACATGAACATCATGAGTTGGGAAGTTTCCAGTGCAGAATTTGCACACTCTTCCTGACCAAACATGCACAGAGTCGAAGGCACTCTGTAGTACTCAAAACGCCTTAGATGGGTGGCTTTGAAAGGTTCGGTTTGTTCTTCATCTTTTGGCGCAGACATTTACATGCCTTTGATGATGGGAGGATCATCCATTTGGCTGTATGGTCCAAATCCAAACATTGGGCCTTGTCGCCCCGTTCAAGACCAGTGGTGCGAAACCACCAGGCTTTTGGTTCCAAACCGAGGAATCCGGAATCGTCGAGCGTGGCGAAAGAATCGGCTTTGCCAGGCATGGCGTCGGGGCTCTGTGACTCTAAGAGGCTTCCGGGGACTCCTTCAGGTGAGCCGTCGCCTGGCGATCGATGGCAGGTGGATGAGCCGAGTGGAAAAGCTGGTTTTGGAACGTTTGGATAGGTAAAGGCTGGGTAGTTAAGCTTCACAAGTTGCAGGAATGTGGAACACGAGCTGCTGGGTCACTTACAGTAGTCTGTAGGTTCCACTTCCACGTTTCCTTTGCTCCCAGCCATGTAGTCTCCAAACAAGTGCTTTAAAGTCTATCGTCCCCAATGCCATGCCTGTTTTCGCCTACAATTCAAACACCAGCAGGCAAACGGCTGAGCTGGTTTCAGACGGCGAAAAAAAGGTAATTTTGCTTTGTCACATGGGTCACAAAACATATTTGGATTCATATTGACAGACGGTGCCTCCATTTTTCCCGTCCCTTCGCTTTTTGGAGACGTGCGCTTGGCTTGGTCGAACACCGTCAGATGCCGGGAACACTGTTGTTTTTGGTCGCCCTGCGTCACGTGTTCGCCCGGTTCTTCCACGGTCACCCTGTGAACCTTTGAACTGAGGCGAACATGGTGAGGCAGCGTGGTCCAGCGAAATCGTTGCGAAACGCCCATGACGGAGCTTCACCAGTTGTGGACGCCACCGAAACCCTCACCAACATGGTGCTCAATGCGTTCATGGCATATTGGAGAGCATAGTTGTACGCATAGCACCGGACTCGGATGGATTTTCAATCAACTCGACCGGGATTTTCGTGTGCGAGACAGTTGACCTACCAGTCTCTAAGTTGTTGCATCCCACAGATCTCAGGTGGCATGTACACAATTTCCACATTTTTTGGTACTGGAGATGTTTTGTGACTCGGTTGCCTGGTGTCTTCTGGGCCTTTTGTTGTCCAAGACATATTAAGCTAAGACTCAGACTGTGTTCCCATCCAGAGACATGTGTATTGAAAAAAGAGTGAAGGGATGCAGGTGTTGAGCTTGATAGCTTCACCTTCACCCGCAGGGAGCGAGGTGCCCCCTTCGGTTCAGCACCGAAGCCCTTTCGATCGTCGCGCGTGAAGGCCCTGGAGATGTACACGGCCTTCACCAGTCTTTCGGAGTCTCGACCTCCCATCGCCAAGCTTGGGGCGGTGGGCAGTGGCGGCCACTCCATTGCAGGCCTGATGGAAGTCCGGGAGGCACATCTGTCGGGTAGATGCTGTGAACAGCCCATGGTTTTAGAGACAAAGCCGTTTTGAGAGATGGAGCCCATTGGGAACCATTCGGATGGACCATTGAGCCTTTTTGTTCCATCCTTGAGAGATGGAACCATTGGCTTTCAGTTTGAAGAGCCTGGCTTCCGCAGGTCCAGAGGAACGACCGAGCCGCGACCTGTTTCAGTAGGTTTCGGGTCGTCCATTCCACTCTGTGGAAATGTGTGTTCAGCGCAAGAAGCCAGTGGGGCATGTATTTTAATAGGGAGACCCGGAGACACCCCAAGAATGGGTTTTGGTCAATGTTCCTTCCTTTGGACCTTCCATGCCCTGACTCGCGGGGGTGGGAGGAATTCAATCAGTGCGCCGGTCAATTTTCCTTCTTCTTGGGGGCCGAACTGGGAGGTCTGAGATGGTCTGAGACCCTCCGTGCCAACTCGACCGAGCCCCGAAACGCGGCGCGTGAGGCCTGTGCCCCCGCGACGAGGTGCTCATTTCCTCGGAGCGCCACGTCTGGGAACATCGCTTCGATGCCTTTGGCTTCTTCGGAACCTTGGGACTCAAAGAACCCCCCCAGACGGTGGACGGTGGTTGACCAATGAAACCAAACGGAAGTTCCAAAGTGGGATGGGTGTATAATTCAGACGGTCCTGCAAGACAGACCGTTCATTTCCGGATTTCTTCATGAAAGGTGAGTCCCGTTGTGACAGGGCAACCATGGCAATCATGAAGTGAAGATCTGACAAATTGGGAGACGACTTGGGATTTATTTGTTTTCGGTGTGCCCAGCTGATAGTTGTGGGTTATGATGTGTGCGGGGGCTCTCTTCCTGGTGCTGTATATGTTGACTGAGGAGACACCAAAGCCCTTTCCATGTTTTGAGCCTCTGAACGACAGGTCAGGGTCTGTTGTGGCTTCCCTTTGGCTTGTTGTGTTTGTTTCGCAGGGTCTCTTGCCAACATCAACATGGGGTTTGCTCTTGCTGGTGAGAGTGAACGAATGAATGGACAAGTCTTGCACGGCAGCGGCCCAGTGGAACCACCAGCATCTAGATTTGGTCTATACATGTCGTCTATACCTGTATCAGAGTCATTGATCAGAGGGTGCACCGTTTTGTGACCGTGACCGCAGATGGATGGACGATAACACCGGTTCTTAGGACAACTTGGGACATGCAGTGGAGCAAAGTGCAGTGTCGTTTTAGCCAGTCAAAGATGATGTTGGAAAGGAGAAAGAGCACAAGCTGCTGATTCAACTGGTGCTGTCGTTTGCCTTTTCTAGAAACACATGTTTGAGGATGTTTGTGGTACCCGGATGGACGAAGCCTACAGATTCTCTGTGCGGTTTTGGTCTTCCAGCTTTCATGTCCTTGAGATGGTCTGTGGAACCAAGGAGATCCGTTTAACTACAGCCGCATGGCGATGGGTCTGAGAGGCTGTTTTAGGGGTCTCGCGTCGTAGTCAAGAAATCTGGTTTGCCTGACGTTTGGGCCTGCCATGTTGGACTGGAATGAAAGGTGCTTTATCCCAAGTTGAAAACAGGGCGTTTCTTTCTAGATCACCAAGTTGTATGAGAACCCTCCTGCCTCTACAGGTCCCAGACGACCCTGGGACAGGGCAGCGCGGAAAAGCAGAACTTCCATGGATTTTTCAACATCAGAAGATTCTTTCAAGGTACCTTTTCCCCAATTAGCGATAGCTTGGGGTTGAACACTCTTTATGCAGCCGGGTGCGGATCCACGGCCCCCGGCTGGGCGGTGGTGTCCCGGTGTCTCGGTCATGTTTTGGTGGTGTCTCGGTCATTCTATCGGTGCCTGTTTGAAAGGGGGCGGGGGTAGCGCAGCGGAGCGGGCTGCCTGCGGTCACCACTTCGGCACCCAAGCTGCCTAAACGCAAGATAACCATAAACATCCATAAACCCTAACAGCCTAAACACTGGAGCAATCCAATTTTCGATTCACCTTAGTAGTATTTATAATACACCGTCGACTCCAAGTTGCAGCTCAACGCAACTTTGTGTGGACAGCTGAAAATGCAAGCAGAGCCTTAGAGGCAAATTGAAAAACCTGTCCAAGGCCTAGTAACTGAGGGAGACCCCTGGAAAGGCGCACAGTGGCAGCAAAGGGCGAGAAAAAGGCAAGCAAGCAAGTGTGGTACACCATTCACTACACAGCAAAACCTTTATGGAGCAAGCTTTGGACCGCAATGCCAGGCTAGCGGAGGCGCCAAACTTACACCTTCTGGCGAACGTGTTTTGAGGCGTTCAATGCAAAAGCACGGATGGCGCGAGGTAGGTCTCGACCGTCTCAGACAGCGCGACAAAGACAAAGAGTGATTTTCAGGATGTGGAGGAACTTGCCAGAACTGTGGGGCACCAGCAAGAGGACGAACCGTCGCTCCCGGCTGGCAAGGGTGTTTTGGGTAAACCATGGTAAAGCCTTTTCTGCAGCCCGTTGTATCCACCTAGTGTCCAGCTATTGGTTTACCAGCAATTGTTCTCATTTCAGCATCCTCCGTCAAATCTTTGGTGTCAAACCACCCTGTATTACCATAGAATTTTTGCATGGCATCCTTGTCCACCGCCCCCTGCCTGGGCGGGTGGCGCATGCCCCGGTGTCTCTGTCAGGTTTCGGTGGTGTCTCGGTCGTGTTTTGCAGGTGTCTCGGTTATGTTTCGCTAGTCTGTCTTGGTTATTTATGTTTTGGTGGTATCGGGCAGGTTTCATTGGTGTCTCGGTCAGGCTTTGCTGGTATCTAGGTCATTCTTTACTTGTGTTCCGGTCATGTTTCGTTGGTGTCTCGGTTATGTTTTGGTGGTGTCTCGGTCACGTGGTCACCTGTATTGAGTCTTATGTCCTTGTCATTCTTTGCCCGAATGGAAACGGCGGGCATAGGTGCATAAACATCTATTACCTTCCTTGGTGTGAAACTCTTGTTGAGCTGTATTGAACTGGCTCTTCAGGCACATCGGCGAACACTACTTAAGTTACTTAAGTGTTTCTTGGTCTATGGAGCACACTTTTTGCTTGGATATTGCCTTTTTGCAACTTTGTGTAAAAATTACGAGGTTGCATTTCAGTATGTTTTGGCAATGGAGGAAACATATGTTCGATACTTGGCATGTGAAAAAACAACGCTCCCAGATAAAATGCGCCAGATGTTAGCGGATGTTTTGCCAGTGGGGTTGTCAGCTTGGTCAATTTTTAGTGCATTTTTGCATCAAAAATGATTATTTTCATGGCTTTAGGAACTTTAGTGCCAGAAAACAGTGTTCTTGGGCAACGCACAAGCAGGCCTCCTGAACGGAGAGAACTCACGTGGTTTCACCGTCGGCCTACTGTGAACCGTAGAAGACCAAGAGCCTGTGAGCGCTGGTACCTACTTCCAAAACTTGTTTTGTTGGGGTTCCTGACAAGGCAAGGTCTGTTCCGTTGGGTGACCTGTGCTACCGAGGCACCTTGCTCACGCTGACGGACCGTCGGATCTTGGTGACCCGTGCCCGGTGGCCCAAGGCCGATGTGGGACGAGTGGTGCGGTGGCCGTGCCAGTTGTGGTTGCTACTTTAAAAACACTATGACCAGAAACATCAAAGGCATGGCCTAAAATATTGGCACTGTCTACACCAATTTGGTCCTTAAGGTGAACCCAAAAGCACGTGGCGTGTTGCGGCGCGTTGAGATGTAGCCGTGCGCGCGCAGGCCTTGAGCTTGGTCGGGTGTCTGATTGGACCACGGACTTGCAGTCATCATTGCAGCATCCTGCAAGAACGCTGGGGGGCCTCTTGGCTGCGAGCTGAGATGCCTGAAAGGCTCCAAAAGAGACACTCCCTGTGATAGAAACATGTTTGGGCATGTTTCCTGTTTGGTGCGTACGCTCCGAGAAGCCACTGTGAACAAGGAATGGTTTTGGGATGTGATAAGGCTCTAGAGGTTGAACAAACTTGTTTCCTGATTCCTGTTGTTTATTCCCCAAACAGTTTACTGTTAGGGGTTCTAAATTCTTTCTTAAGATGTGTCCGCCCTTTCTGTCACAGCCGCTGTCCGTGATTTCTTTACTTTTGTTTCCCAGATTCTGCGCCTGCACTGCTGGTGTCCGCCCTTTTCTGCTGGCCACGCAGCATTTCTTTTCATGTCTCCCATGATTTCTGTACTTTTATCTCCCAGGTTTGGTGCCTGCACTGCTGGTGTCCGCCCTTTTCCGCTGGCCAGCATTTCTGTTCATGTGTCTCCCAGGTCTGTGGCTGCTGGTGACTTCTTTACTTTTGTCTCCCACTTTCGGTGACAGCTGGTGTCCGCCCTGTTCCGCCGGCCATGCAGCATTTCTAGTTATTTGTCTCCCATGTGATCTCCAACTTTTGTCTGCCAGGTTCGGTGCCTGCACTGCTGGTGTCCGGAGCATTTCAATTGTTTTGTTTCCCATGTGGTTTGTCTACTTTTGATTCCCAGGTTCGGCGCCTGCACTGCTGGCGTCCACTCTTTTCCGCTGGCCATGCAGCATTTCTTTTCATTTGTCTCCCATGTGATTTCTTTACTTTTTTCTCCAAACAGGTTACTGTTGATTGCGGAGACAGGAGTCCAGAGTTGGGAGGCAAATGTAAGGAATTTCAAGTGAGAGGCAAAGGAATGTAAGCGAGAGGCGGACACAGCAGCCCAGAGCTGGGTGACAAATGTAAAGGATTGCAAGGCAAAGGCGGACACAGCAAGTGCAAAGGATTGCAAGGCAGGCGGACAGCAGCCAAGAGACATGGAAAGGATTGCAAGAGAGAGGCGGACAGAGCAGTCCAGAGCTGGGAGACACATGCAAAGGATTGCACGGCAGAGGCGGACACAGCAGCCCAGAGCTGGGAGACACATGTAAAGGATTGCGAGGCAGAGGTGGACACCGCAGTCCAGAGCTGGCGGACACATGTAAAGGGTTATTGTTGCTCATTGTGTCCCCCTTCTAGTCTCCGGTCTTGCCTCCCTTCTTGTTGGGCACTGTGTCGGCTTGTCTCCCTTCTGTTTCCTTTTGTCTCAGACAGAAGGGAGACAAGGCGGACGCAATGACCAAAAACAAGGAAGACAAAGGGTGACAAGCCGGGCGGAAGGCGGACACGCTGTCCCGCAGCAAGGCGGACACTCTTGAGAACCCCTATCACATTTGTCTCCCAGCTCTGGCCTGCATGTCCTTTACATTTGTCGCCCAGCTCTGGGCTGCATGTCACTTGCAATCCTTTACATTTGTCTCCCAGCTCTGCCGTGTCTGCCTTTGGCTTGCAATCCGTTACATGTGTCTCCCAGCTCTGACTGCTGTGTCCGCCTTTGCCTTGCAATCCGTTGCACTTGTCTCCCAGCTCTAGACTGCTGTATCCTCACCTCGGCCTTGCAATCCTTAAATTTACATGTGTCTCCTCGCTCTCGACTGCTAGTTCGGCCTCTGCCTTGCATTCCTTTGTCTCCCAGCTCTGGACGTCGCAAACTCTAGTTGCAGAGTGTTCTGATTTGAAAACACAAACTGTTTGGGGTCTACGGCGGTGTAATTTGGTTTTGATGTCATACTTGATCTGGGTGCGCACCACCCCTAAGTCCCCCAAACGTTTCATCATGCCGGGCTCGACGCCAGAGACAAGGCCCAATCGCGGAAAACATCGTGCTTGCGGGGCTAGGAGAAGTACTGTAGACCTTTAATTGCTTGTGGTTATTGAATATGAACATGGACAAGGATGCCTATAGAGTACTGGTAAGCATCGTGCATGCAGCGTCCCGATTCCTTCACGCTTTGTTCGGGTGAAGGACCGTCCTTTGGCTCAGGTACTTTCCCTATATCACCTTGACCTCGGTCTGGTATGACGCTGGGTGTGAAGTCCTGGAAGGTCCCTTTTTGGATCTGGCCATGGCACACCAGCCATTGGAGCTCCAGTATTTCAGATGGTATCTTTCAAAGGAGACATGCTCCCAGAGTGGATGCAGCAGCATTTGATGGGATCTTGCCAACATGGCCAGCTTTTGGATGTCCTATTGTCCCGATTTGAAAGCAACAAACAAGATAGGCTAAACAACATGGAGAGACACCATAGGAGAACCGGACACAAGAGTTTTGCAGCCGGAGAAACACTTTATGTGCCATTGGCTTAGACACATATTATGTGCTAATTCTTTATGCCAATTTTTCGCATATTTGGAGCTCTTGTCCTTGGTCGCCCCAATTTCTTGACCAGTCCAGCCCAGGAATCTTTGGAGTCCTATGTGACGCAGCGGGTGCGAGCACCACCGTGACTGGGCGGAGAGATGGGCCACGCGAACGGCAGGCGGTGCGCGCCCAAGGCAGCTCTCTTTTTTCGGTCCAAGCATCATTTGTACAATCACCGCGTGATGTCATGAGGGCCTTCTTTTTGGGTGTATGCCTATGCAGCAAAAAAGGCGGAGCTACCAGCTACCAACTACGAGGTTTCAGTGAAAACATGAACAGCCTTGAGACATGTGGTTAAGGGTGAAGTCTCTGAGAGTCCTCCATAGGTTCTGAAAGCTGTTCTTGGCCAGAATCAACTTGACGTCTCTTGTTATGGAGGGCTCTTTCTGTCGATGAGTCACTTTGATTCATCTCCACCATCTCCCACCATCTCTCACCATTTTCCTGAGGTACTTTGGCCAGAGGTTGACTATATCTCACCCATCCCATCAGGATCCAAAACAAGGAGTCCACCCGCTTTCGCGGCGTTTTCGCGGCGTTTTCGAGGTTTTGGCCTGGCTTTATGAAGCCCATCATGAGCCTTTCGGTCTCCTGGCGGATAGAAAAGAGCCCAGGGTGGGAGTGGATGCTTGTCCCTGGATGCCTGGGTTCTTGGAGAGGATCCAACGATATCAACAAAAGCAACTCGCAACCGAGAGAAAACTCTCAGACATGAACACCCTGGCTGGAAACATGCAAGAGATGAACCTGCCATTTTTGTGGAGAACTGAATTTTGGCTACTGGGACTGAACCGAGATCTTTATTTTTTACAACGAATAGCTTCGCTCTAGTACCGCAGAGCGTGGATTCGTGGATCTGGACTGAACATGTGAGATCTTGCCTCTCTGACTGGGACTGATCCTCACTTGTACGAACCACATGAATAGCCCAAGCATGCGCTTTCCTGCGTCGGAGCCTAGTAGTGGCCTCTTACTTACTTGGCACTCCTGCCGGTTAAAACTTAGTTACTGTGGGGAGTGGCTGAGGTGAACTTCTTGGAGAAGTGGATGAAGTCCTATCCCTCGGCTCTTCAAGTGACCCAACGGCCCTATGGCATCCCCCGCGAGGTCCACGTCCCCCGAGGCGCCAAGATCTGGTGCCCTGGCCGAGAACCCGTTTGGGACCGACCATGGGG